TTCATGGTTCTTATCAGGTGGCTCTTTCTATATACTTCTCTGCCTCTTAACAAACATATTCAATCGTAGGGGTGGTAACCAGGGTAAACCTACCCAGAACATAGGCACAAATTCTTAGATATTCCTGTCATCTGGAGGTGGGAGGTTTATGTCCTCTCCCCTAGAAAATGGGTGGGCTCTGTGACTACTATGAACAAAAAATATGACAGAAGCAACACTGTTTCAGTTTCCAGACTGGCTGCTTGTATTTCCTGTCTCTTGGAGCCCTCATCCCACATATAAGAAATTCAACTACCTGAGGCTGCCATGCTGTGAGAAAGCCCAACCTGGCCCAGGGAGAGGCTCTGTGGAAAGAGGGAAAGAGGCAGAGAGACAGAGATCCATCCAGCTCCAAGCTATTCAGGCCCCAGACATCATGGAACAGAAACGAGCTGTCCCCACTGTGCCCTGCCCTAATTCCTGAACCAGAGACTTGTACCTTATACTAATGATAAATGATTAAGTCTTTAAGTTTGGGGGCAGCTTATCACACAGCAATCGATCATTGAAACATCATACTCCTGTAGACTCTCCTCACTACCCAGTGGGTGCCATCTGACAAAAGTCATTAGGGCTGATGATCACATTCTAGACTTTTCTTTTTGAGAAAATGAAACTGCACTGCCCTCTGAGGTCAGATGTGATTTTCTTTGCTTCAGAGAATGAAATGAGAACAGAAACGACGTGTGTCACTTCCAGACAAGAGCTTCAAAAGCCAGCGGGCCATTCGCTATGGTCTCCCCTCAGACATTATGACCAGAGATATCAGATGTTGAAGATCTATCAACCTGGGCCCTGGCTGAGGATATCATGGAAAAAAGCTACCTACAAGCTGCTCATTCCACACCCCAAGGTGGACATGTCATGCGAACAAAAACATAAATAGTTGGTGTTGTTTGTGACTGAAGCATAATCATGGTGACTGACATAGTAAGTTCTTTTCTCAAGCTAATCCTGACCAAAACGACCACATGCATGAGAGAGCATTTGAACTCTGGAATGTTTCACACACAAAAAGAGGAGGTCTGTAAATTAAGCAAATATATATGTCTATCTTTTTGACAGCGACAACCAGGAACACCATGGAAATCAACCATGTGGAAACGCAGTGGCCATGGGAATCCACCACCTAGACCTCTAACTACAGGGAGCATAAGTGACCGAGGGCCCCGTGGCTACACTGAACTCCTCCCACACCCCCCACAGGCTCCTCACAGCCGATGGCAGTGCAGTGGGGATGCTTGACAGACCTGTCCCTGGGAAACACAGGCCTCCTCCCGGCAGCCTGCAACACTCCCATTCGATCTTACACCCTCCCCTGCACTTGGGGTCAGATTTGCATTGCAGCCTGACAACTCCCCCAGCCTTCCCCGACCTTGCTCCCCATTTTCTCTCTCACCAGCATTTCCCCTAGCAAAATCCTTGCACATTGAACCTATCTTGGCATCCACTCCACTGAGAACGCAGACTAATACAACTATGTCGATGAATATTCAGCCTTGAAAACTTAGCTTTGATCAATTAAACATACAGAGACAGAGCTAGCTCTTGCTGGATGGGGGCTGTTCCATTAATCTAAAGTCACAATTTTACATGATGTCTATGGCTATGGTTAGATCCAACTCCTAAATGACCTACATTGACATGGTATCATTTTCTTTAATGTGACTTTTACAAAGTGTGATTTAACCTTTCTCCAAAAATGTATTCCTCCCTAAATGTCCAAAATATAGGCTTCCAATCTCTTATCCAAAACCCTGGAGACCATGCATTTTGGAATTCAAAATTTCATATATTAGAAAAGTAAGATTACAACCGTCATATTTGACGTAACCCAGCAGATCTGGAGCAGAACTCTACAATCAAATACATTAATTTTTTTTCTTCCATATAACACACAAATATTAACTCAAGTGAGATTTTAAAAAAAAAAACAGCCTTGAGACAGTTTAGGTATGGGTTTGCCATCAAAGACAATTATTTTAAAAATTCCGTTTTCAGAGATGTTTGCATTTTTGAGTTGTGAATACAGGATTGCAGACCTGTATATCCACACTACAGAAAACTGTGCAGCCCTGTAAAGAAACTAGCTTCACCTCTATACTAACACAGGAGAACAACTGGCAGCCCCACAGACCTGCATGAAGAAAGCATGGAGCAGGACAGCCTGCACTGGAGGTGTGACCTTATACATAGAGTGGGAAGAGGAAAGGTGGAGACCATCTCCACTTGCCACATCCCCCCTCCCCTCCTTTTTCCACCCACAACCCTCTGTAATGACTTCAGCTCTTGTTGAGCGATGCTGTGGAGACACTGTTTGTGAGTATGGATTGTGATGTGGTAATGTTTTTAAGTATGAATTTATTTATATTACTTATGAGAGAGAGACTAAATTCACCTCTACAAACTGCCTATGCTGATGGCAGGTAACTAGAATGTTTTGCATAAACTGGGGGCTGAGATAGTTCACAGGGAAATTTACTTAGGGCATTAAATAAGGCTCTTTTGTCAGGGCAAGAGACCCAGAAGGCGAAAACCGTAGACAGGAACCCCTGCAGTAGACTGGAGATGCCCAGTATCTCTTCCACATCAAAGGAGAGGACACAGCATGGGACTGTTCCCACAAGGAACTTCTCAAGAAACACCCAATTCTGGACATTTTTCCTCATCTGTTTTTGGCCCCTGTCCTGACATTCATAAAAGGCTCTTTTCTTTATCAACCATTTCGGAAGCCAAGAGCCAGAGGAGAGGCTGTTAACCACAAACAAAATAAAAAGATGACAAGCAGGATGAAAAATAAATTAAGGAGGAAATATTCTTTCTAGTAGCTCAATAGTCCTGGGAGAAATGGTCCGAGATGGATAAAAGTTAAGGAATCTTAATTAGGGATTGGAAATCTAATATGATAACATTCACTTTGCATTTTATATACTCAGTATTGACTGTATTTTTCCACAATAAGCATGTATTAAAATCACTTCATGATTAAAATTTTTCATTTAATTATGGGAATTACTGAGAACAGTCTTTGTTAATATATGTAAGGTGCTATTATTATTCTCTATGAGCCACTCTCGGGAGATGTACCAAGTGCAAACACTCTGCTTGGCCCTCTGACAAACATCATTCCATTGTGTGCTGTTTATTCAACCTCTAAATCTAAGGGACCGAGCTTGGCACTGGAGATACCCCCGTGAACAAAACAAGTGTGAACCCTACCCCAAGAAGCAGGTGCACCATTGTGGACACAGGCTATTCAGCAAGTTATTGCACATTTAATGATTCGATTCCACTTGTGGTGAGTGCTATGAAGGGGAGCACTGTGACCCATCAGAGCCTCATGGCAGCTCTCTGAGGTGGATGCCATCCTCAATTAGGGATAGAGAGTTAACATTAATATTTGTAACATTAAGGTAGGTTAATTATAATACCATAAAATATACTGAGCAAATAATATTTTTATAATTACAGCTATTATGGCAATGATAAGAAATTATTTTAGGTCAACTGGTCAATGGGGGAAAGGATGGGAATAAATGTGGAACTAAGTCTAAATGTGCGGGCGAGTACAGGGATCATTACTGCCAAGGATTTCACCAGCTCTGCTGGGTTCCTTCATGCAGAGGCTTGGAGACCTCCACTTCAAGACACCCCCCCCCAACCCCAGAACAGCAAGACACTAACAGAAAGACAACCTGGAAGCAAATACAAGGGGTGTATTTTCCAAGGATATGTTCCATATTTTACAAGCATTTTTAATTTTAAAGACGCGGGCCCTTTGTGCCCACAAACCACTAAAGTAAACTGGAAATCTCAATACTTTTATATTCAAACCGTACCCAAGAGTCCCTCTTGAGCCTAGAAGTAACACACAAGTCCTATTCAGAGCAAATACCCTGTCTGTTTGGAAAACATTGCCACTGTGCTCAAAAGGCACTAAGTGGCAAGACATGAACATCTTCCACCAAGACCGGCTGCTCCATGAGATGAGCATGCAGAAAGGCTTGCTGGAGCTGTAATACTAACCATGGTATCTGTGGTATGGAATTTCCTTGAAGGTAGCATCTGCTCAAAATAAAATACTTTGGAAATTTGGGGGGTGCTGGGGAGACCTGCTCCTCCCATCAGTATACACAGCCAGGCTTCAAAGTTGCCATAATAATGTAATCTCGGATTCTATAAAATGAGAGCTCATGGAAATGGAACTTCCAGGTGTAGAAAAACGGGCATTCCATCTAAATGCATGTGATAAGTACTTCCTGCTTCTCTCCTGACCAAGGCTGGCAATTACAACAACTTGACAAAGATCCTCTTGAACTAAATATTGTATATGTTTCTTTACTTAGTGAATCAAGAACTTAAAATTAGAATTCTAGGTCCATGGGTATCTCCTGACAGTTCACAATGGAGTAAGCTGACTTATTACACAAAATGAGAGCATCATAGTGAATTCAGACTGGTGTGAATGAGACAGCCAACCTTTGATGAGACCTTAACTTGGCTTCACTTTAATTTTTTGCTGTCTCAAGATTTTTATAATAAAAAATTATGTCCTAAGATATGGCAAATCCATGGGACTTTTGCTACCACACCCCTCTTTACAGCCATAGTAAACCTTGCTCCCCCTGTGACAGATGTGGCCTTACAGGACAGCTTAACAGGAAGTTCCAAGTAGCCACCATCCATGACCTCAGCAAGCACAAGAGTCAGTCTAGTTGCCAATCCTGGTTTAGACTATCTTACTTGACATTCAAAATGCCGTATTCTATGACAATAAATGGATCCCATCGGACTTAAAGCTGTCACCATTGTTAAGACCTGTTTGATATGGCTAAGGAATATAGATGGTATGAGAAATAAGGCTGAAGTCACCATCAAGTCAGTTACACCATGTTGGCCTTTCTCAGTTTCCATTAGTTGTACTACAAACAGATAAAATATTACATCAGCCAGTCACTGACCTTGTGGAGAGCAGGAGCTAAGACTGGTACCAAGAACCCATTGTAAATATAATTTACAAGCTGGTTACGAATCAAAGGATGAGCCACCTAAGAGAGAAATAAGTAGTGATAAAAATTACAAAGAATTCAATTTTTAGGTCTTCTTAAAAATCAAACGTTTCTGTGTACATCCTGAATTCAAAATAGAAATCCAAATTTTGGCCATTTATTTCATGGTTAAAGAATAATTCAGACTTCAAACCACCATAGAATTTTTCCAGATGGTTTATTCCAGTATAAATAGTTTGGACTTTCAAAAAAAAAAAAAAGAGAGAGAGAGAGAAAGAGAGAGAAAATCTGATAGTTTTAAGTTTCTATTTGAAAAAAATAGACTGAAGATGTATACAGAGTCATATCATAAAATTCACAAACTAGAAAGTATAATTTTACCCCATAATTTCATCTATGTCCCATCTCAATTTGTGACTCATTTAAAAAAAGAATACAACTGTCAAAATGAACAATTAAATACATTTAATTTGCTGGTAGAAAAGAATTTCTCATTTTAGAGGTGCATTTTCTGCTACTCATTTTATTAAGGAGGAAGGCATTTAGAAATTCTGTTCATAAAAATTAGATCCTATTCAAAAGCAGAAAACATTATCAGAGGCACAAGTCTTTCTATATTTGATTTATAAAATATATATTGTATGGATAACCCCCACTAATATCTTTAAATTTATCTTTATTGTTGAAAGTACTACAGATGTCCCCCCTTTACCCTCCATTAACCTCTCCACCCCATACCCGCCCCCCACCTCCCCAGGCCTTCACTGCAACTATTGTCTGTGTCCATGGGTTATGCATATATGCATACAAGTTCTTTGGTTAGCCTCTTTTACAAGTAATCTTTTCAATAGCACCCCCAAACAAACAAACAAAATCTTAAAAGTATATAGCAGCCGTGGGCAAACTACGGCCCGCGGGCCGGATACGGCCCGTTTGAAATGAATAAAACTAAAAAACTTTATGTAATGATGTTAACTTTGAATTTATATTAGTTCACACAAACACTCCATCCATGCTTTTGTTCCGGCCCTCCGGTCCAGTTTAAGAACCCATTGTGGCCCTCGAGTCAAAAAGTTTGCCCACCCCTGGTATATAGCCTCAAAATATTGAATGAAATATATCACTTCTCGGTTCTTAACCATGCCTGTTAGCTTTAATTCTCTTTCTTAAAAAGACATACAATCAAATCAAATCAAATCAAAAGCATTTTCTAGGGAAGTGAGGTTAGATCTTTAAATTACTAATAATCTCTCTCTGTGTACATTTGGGGAGAAACTAACAGTTCCATCTCTTTTATGTCCACACACTTCTGCAGGAAAATGTTGATAGACTGTAATATTAAAGAAAAAAATAACTTAAGATGTAATCCACTTATCTTATATATAAATAAAACTTCCTTTGACTTAGCAATAAAAATGAGATGGGAACCAAAGTGATTTACTGCATTTCTTTCCAGAAGCTATTTCTTTATTTGGTAGATAAACAGATTATAACTAACATTTTTCACCTCACAATCACCATAAAGAAAATTTGATTTCTTAATAAATCCAATATTGAGGTGATGCTTATGCTATACAGAAATAAAACATTTTTGATGAAAACCTACTACATCCTTAAATGTTTATAAAATCTAATTTTTATTCAAAACAGTAACAAAAAATCTGAAAATAAAAATCTAATCAAGAAGCCAAATATAGTAGAGTTCAGTGGCATTTTCCCCCCCAAAGCAGGCCAATTTCAAAGCAAATGTAATTTGTGTTGCTAAGAAGATGCTTAAGTTCTTCTAAATTCAATTGGGATAACAATATTCTTTATGTAGTATGCATCATTAAGCACAACAAAGTGTTTTCCTTTGTAGACTCCCCAAAAGACCTTGAAATAAAAGTGGTATAATTTGGAGTACTTAGAAGCCTAAAAATATCTATTTAATGAGTCAGGCATTGAACTTATTTTTGATGGGTAAGTGAATAATCAAAACATAATTAGCATTTTTTATAAGGAAGAAAAGAATATCTACTTACTTTTTCTCAATTAAAACTTCCCAGAAACCCATAAACTAACGTTTTTACTCATTCAAGAACACTTAGTACGCTTTGAGTAAAACATCAATATTCCATAAACATTAAAATTAAAAAAGGACTATTTATATACTACTCCTTTACCATGCTTATACTCTGAATGGATCCTAACAAAGGGTCCCTGCATTGCACTCAGTACCTGTATGACGGCGTTGCAAAACTCCAGGGAGTTCATGAACTGGACGAGAGAGGGGAGTAGGAGCCAGTCATCTTTCAGAAGGCAGTGCCACTCCTCGCCTTTCTCTTCTAGCTTTGTAGGCAGGGAAGAGTAGAGACCACTGAGCCCAGTTGCAAGCACCTGTGTTCAGAAATAAAAATGTAATCAGCTCTTTTCCAAAGATTTTTAAAAATATGTTTTTATTGGTTTTGAGAGAGAGAGGAAGGGAGAGGGAGAGATAGAAATATGGATGAGAGAGAAGCATTGACTGGCTGCCTCCTGCATGCTCCCTAATGGTCACTGAGCCCGCAACCCAGGCATATGCCCTGACCAGGAATCAAACCAGCAACCTAGTTCATGGGTCGATACTCAATCACTGAGCCACACCGGCCGGGCTCTTTTCCAAAGTTTGAACCTGCAACTAACAGCTCCCTGGGGAGGCCAATGCTGCTGGTCCAAAGACTGCACTTGATGTAGCAAGGTATTAAAGTATGAGAGGGTATTTTGCTAGCTAGGAAGGATTCGACAGGTGAAGATTAGCAGGGAAGGACAACTCCTGTAGAGGGAACAGCAGCAACCAGGGTATTTGGTTAATTCATACACGGTAGATACAGGTTGCCTGTCTCTTCTGTACCAGGCACATGCTGGTCTAAGGGTAGGGGGAGTGAGGGAGAGGCAAAGATGAAGAAAACATGATTCCTGCCCCCAAGCTGTTGAGGAGAGGGGCAAACTCATCAACAAGCATTACAGTACCATACGCTGCATGCAAATTCAGAGAAGGCACAAACCCAGTCTCTGGGAGGAAGCCCTACCAGTGGTCAGCAAACTCATTAGTCAACAGAGCCAAATATCAACAGTACAACGATTGAAATTTCTTTTGAGAGCCAAAATTTTTAAACTTAAACTATATAGGTAGGTACATTGTTATTAACTTAATTAGGGCTTATGAAGAGCCACACTCAAGGGGCCAAAGAGCCGCATGTGGCTCGCGAGCCGCAGTTTGCCGACCACTGCCCTAGATTATGGCAGCCCAGGTCAGAAGATCTCACAGGTAAGAACCATGAGTGGCTGCAGTGGTTCTCAACCTTCCTAATGCCGCGACCCTTTAATACAGTTCCTCATGTTGTGGTGACCCCCAACCATAAAATTATTTTCATTGCTACTTCATAACTGTAATTTTGCTACTGTTATGAATCATAATGTAAATATCTGATATGCTATATGTGTTTTCCGATGGTCTCGACCCACAGGTTGAGAACCGCTGCTTTAGAGAAAGAGTCCTGCAAACATGTTCAAGGTCATGACTGACACGTGCCTATTTACAGTTTGAAAAGCACTTTAATCTGATCTTCACAAGTGATAGCAAGAAGAAAGAACTGGGGGCCATGGGTCAGCTAGACATGATGACAATAGTTCAAACAGAGCTACAGTGGGGCTAAGCTGAAGTATCGGCAGTCGGAAAAGAGAGGAGGAAATAAATTTGAGATTCATGTGTGAGGTGGGTGTGAGGGTGAGCTAACCATGACATCTGTCGATCCAGTATTGATCCAAAGCTCATGGGGTTTACTTCCTCCCTCAATGCTATGTTCCTAAAAGGACAGAGTTTGTGCTTAGTAAGTGAGGATGAGTGAGAACTCCAAACTATTAAATTATCCAGCTTGGTCATTAAGAAAATGATGATGTCTTTAACAGAGACAGAAATGTGGGCAAGGAACCCACTTGTGCTGTGAGCCTGTTGATTTTATCTTGTGCAGCATAATCTGAGGGAAACTATGGCTGTCACAGCTGGGAAGTGACGATCACCAAACAGCACCTCAGAGATCCTGATCAGGCAAAGGAATAGCATGGAACAGAAGCAAGAAGTTACCTATAAAAGGCGTTCCTCTAATCCCTGAGGTTATGAGGGACTTAGATGGGCTAGAAACATTCAAGAAAACGTTCAATCCTAACTTAGGCCCAGAAAAGAAACAGCGAAGTTTTCATTGATCTCAGAGTCTAATAAGAGATGAATCAGCAATTATAATAGTGTAATAAATGTTCAGAATACATGATAGAAAATGCATGGTGCTGTGGATATACAAAAGGCCCTTAATCCAGACTTTGGGTTGGGGAGCAGGGAATGGTCTCAGAAGAAGTGACGCCCAAGCTGCTAAACAGTAGATGGCCAAAAAAGAGTGTTGAACAGAAGAATGTTCTAAGCAGAGTGTGTACAAAAGCTCAAAGGAAGAAGGAAAAATGGCATGTTCCAGGAACGAAGAGCAGTGCAGTGCTACTGGAATGTAGAATTAGAGGTGGAAAGAGCCGGCAAGGTAAGCAGGAGTCAGACCCTGCAGGGTTCTGTAGGCCAAGATAAAGAGCTCGAGGGACATCCACTAGAGAGCCCAGTATGTGTTAAAAATAACACATACCTAATATTCACTTTTTTAAAGCATATTCTTGGAAAAGGCATGGCTAAGATGGGAACAGAAGCCTGTCTATAGAGACAGTGCAGTGTTGCAATTGGAACAGAGAACTACCTCGTTCTTGCCACACAATGTTTCTCTCTCATCCATATTTATATCTCTCCCTCTACTTACACAAGTCCAGCTGTATGGACTTGATGCTTAGAGAAGGATCTGGGCTAGAGATGGTGATCTGGAACCATCCATATGTACATGGTACCTCAAGCCATACAGACCAGAGGGAGAGGGAAGGGAGGTTTAGGCAGATGAGATATGATAAAGTAACCCATAGTGCCTGACATCAGAAAGTCAGAGGAGGTGGTGGGGGTCCAGGTATGTTGAACCTGGAAAAATGATCTATAACCTCATTGTTGCCCCTCCTTCTCCCTTGTCCTGTTCCCACAGCATCCTCTGTATTCCTTGGTGTAGCACCTGTCGGTCTTGCATTTATTAGTGTACGGCTGTCTGCTCCGTCTCACCTGGTGTCGCCTGTCCAGTCCAGTCCTCACTGGGGTGTGGATGACTTGTGCAGGCAGGTATATGGAGCAGCAGAGGCCAACAGTGCTTCCCGTGAGAAACACACCCAGTTGGACAATAGAGTACAGGCCTGGCCTGAGAAATGAGAACCTGGAGGTCTTAGCGCAGAGAAACCAGATGATGCCTCGGGAAGGAGGGGTTGGGGGTCACATGGAGTGGGAGCCCACAGTGGAGTAGGAAGGGCAGTGAGAGAAAGAAGCGAACCATTTCAATATTTGAGAAATCAAAAGATTATGTCTGTTTCTCTGTCCTTTTTCCTAGTGACCTTTTTTCACCCATTCATTCACTCGTTCATTAAAAAAGAATTACTAAGCACCTTCCGGCCAGGTACTAGGGTAAGTACAGGAAATACAACAGTAAACAAGATAATGCATTTATCTCTTTTTCATCATCAAAGCATCTGGGTTCCCAAAGGAGACTGTCCCCTATTTAAAGTACTTAACTCCTTATCTACACACCCAAACCAATCACTTTAACTCCCGTTGTAAATGTGACCCGAGTGAGTTGTCTGTAGTAATAAATTAGAATCTTCTACCAAGAGAGAACAGAGACCAAAAGTTCTCCTTGAAGGGAAATCTAACCTTGATGCCACATTTTAAAAATCAATTACATTTGCTAACTCATGCTAAATTAACCACAGAACAAAGGCTTTAATTCTGCATACGCCCGATTCCTTAACCACTTTGAGGCTTTGAAAATGAATTCATAAAGACAGGCTTAATTTGTCTGACTAAAAAGCTGGGAATAACTATTTAGTATATCAATATAATTACAGCAACATTAATCTTCAAATTACATACATCAGTGACAGTAATTAAAAATAACACATACCTAATATTCACTTTTTTAAAGCATATTCTTGGAAAAGGCATGGCTAAGATGGGAACAGAAGCCTGTCTATAGAGACAGTGGAGTGTGGCGATTGGAACAGAGAACTACCGCGTTCTTGCCACTATACGTGGGGCTAGCGAACATCTCTGCTACGTTCTTCAGGCAAAGAAACATGGAAGAAAATATTCTGCAGAATAAAGAGTATCACATCTTTCTTTTAAATAGGTTTTTATTGATTTTTTAGAGAGAAAGTAAGGGAGAGGGAGAGAGAGAGAGAAACATCGATGAGGGAGAAACATAGATCAGCTGCCTCCTGCACACCCCTACTGGGTTTGAACCCACAACACAAGGCATGTGCCCTGACTGGGAATCAAACTGGTGACCTCTTGGTGCACAGGATGATGCTCAACCAACTGAGCCGCACAAGCCAGAACTAGTATTACACAGTCTTAAGAACAAGATTCCAAATCTTTACTGCTAAATACTTAGATCCTCCTTTCTAAGACTGCTCAGAGTTCAGATCCATTCACCCAATCCACATATATTTCTAAAACACTGACTGTGGCCCAGGTGCTAGAGAAAGAAGTGAACAAGCCAGCCCAGGAGAGATGGAGAAGAAAGGTGATAAACTAATAAATGCAAGAAAGACGATTGCTCCACAAAGGGAACCAGAGGGTGCTGTGGGAACAGGACAAGGGAAAAGAAGAGGCAACAGGTTTGTAGATAATTTTTCCAAGAGTTTAATGGCGCTATCCATTTACTTTTAAATTTCATTTTTAACTTAATTTAAAAATATATAGATATTCAACAGCTAATTAAAAATAAAATACCCATCCACTATTTTAGCCTTGCATTGATCCTGGCCACACAAAAGTAATTATAAGACATATTTGTTCCTAACACATTAAGTATTAACCCAATATTTTTAATTTATTTTCTTTCAAGAGTCTCCTTAAAAGGAAATAATCGCCATATAAAACTATAAGGATAATAACGGATCATTTAAACAGCACCACTTCCCTGAAAGCATGGTAGTGGTTGAGACCATGGATTTTAGTATCAGACTAATGCAGCTGTTGAACCTGCCTCTGCCATTTACAGGCAGTGATTAAGTCCTCTAGGGTTCAGTTTCTTTACTGAGTTGCTGTGGGAATTAAAGAAAATAACGCATGTGAAAAGGTGACCATCATGGTGGATACATACCAATGTTCCCACTGGAGGGAGGAAAGGTGATGTGCCCAGAGCACAAAACAAGCCAGGGAAGGTCCATCTTTAACGCAAAACATTCAACACTACCCAGTTAATTTTAGCAAAAACAAAAAGATTTTTAGCAGATGGCTTTAGTCTGAAGCTAGCAGCAGAACACCTGGTAGGGACCATTTGATACACCTTGCCAACATAAAAAGCCTCATAAATTTTAGATATGGGATAAATAATGTTCTACTTGCGGCTGTGTACCTAAAGGTTGCAAAATTTCAATTTGCCTTTCCGAATTTATGTATAGGCTGCTTTCTACTTTTGCCAATCAGTAACACGTGACAAGGGCTTAATCATTAATATTTGTTTAAAAAAAATCAAAAGAAGACAGGGTCATAGAGTTCCCAATCATTTGTTGGCTCTAAATTGTTCCCTAGGGTATTCTCATCCTCCTTCTTTTCTTGGAAAAGCACATCGTGAGATGAGCGGTGGCGGAACCAGCAAGCTCTTCCTATCAATGACAACAGCAGGAGTTTCCAACAGTGGTCTAGTTTCCTGAAAGAGTCATTACTCTTCCCCACACCTGATGCTAACACACTTTGACAATCATACTAATTAGAGAAAGCCTTTTGTCAATTGTGGTCCTTAGCCGGGTGGTTAATAGAGGATGCTTTTATATTCAACATACAGAGGCCCCCTTTTTTAAAAATTATGTTGTCAGATGTAATTATAGAAAACTGGGGACAAATGAGATTATGGGATCCATCCTGAGAGGCAACTTAACACAACACAGCAGCTCTGTGTTCCATTCTAGAAAATAATGTCAGCTGTAGACGTTGTTTTTCCTCCAACTTTAATGAACTCGACAGTGTTTGAAAACACATTTTTATAAAAGCAACAATTACTCAGTAAAATCTGCTTACAACATAAGTGAAAATCTAAACATTAAAAATATGCTCTATTCTAGTCCTAATAAATTTAAATGTTTAAGTATGAAATGTTACAAACATATATAACATAACAGGATAGAAACCATCCCAAAATTTCACAGATTTTAATGTTTGCACATCATTTCTTCAGGGCACTCTTTATTTTTATCAAAAAATAAAATCTAACAAATAGAGCTAAACCCTACTCCAACCCCATTACCCTCCCTTCTCCTTCCTTCACCCCCAAAAGCAACCACAGTCTTGAAGTGAGAACATATTCCAGTACTTGTTTTTGTACTTTTACTGTATTCACATGTACCCAAAAAACAGCATACCTTATGACTTAAAACTTTGTAAATTCACTAACATACTATATGTAACCTTTTGCTACTTGTATTTTTACTTAGCATGTTTTTAGACTTGTAGGTATTCACACGTATATAGTTACATGTACACTATACATGCAATTCATTCATTTTGAATTCTGTATAGTAATCCATTATGTAGAACAGGGGTGCAGAATGTCCGGCCTGTGCAGTATAAGGCCTACGAAATCATTTGATCTGACCCTGAACAATTCAATGTTTGACCAAATATAGCAGGCTAATTTTTAAAATATATTTTTATTGATTTCAAAGAGGAAAGGAGAGGGAGAGAGAGATACACTAATGATGAGAGAGAATCACTGATCAGCTTCCTCCTGCACATCCCCAACTAGGGATCAAGACCACAACCCAGGCATGTGCCCCGACCGGGAATCGAACCATGACCTCCTGGTCCATAAGTCAATGCTCAACCTCTGAGCCACACCAGCTGGGCTGCAGGCTAATTTTTCAGTTGCTAATTTTGTATGGCCTGCGAATGATTTTATAAATATCCAAATGGCCATTGGCAGAGAAATAGGTTCCCCATCCCTTATTAGAACAAAACAGTCTATTTATCTTTCCTTTAATATATTTCTATTTTTCTCTTCCTCAAATCAGTATTCTATTGAATATCTTTGTGCATGTATCCTTGCAAACATGTGCCAAACTTCCCTAAGGGGATATCTAGAAGATGCAGGGTCACATGGCACACAAATATTCAATTGTATTAAATATTGCCATATTGCTCTCCTGATTTATTGCCCCAATTTACATTCTCAAGAGTTCCTGTTTTTTCACACCCTTGACAACACTTGGTGTTACCAGATGTCCGACAGTTCACCACTCAGATAAGCAGTATCTGATGTCTCTTTGTGAACTGATTTGCATTTCCAATGCTAGGAAAGATACACATATTTTCATATGTTTATGGGCTTTGGGTGTCATCTGGGAATTGTTCATTCACATCCTTTGCCCATTTTTCTAATGTTTTCTCATTAATTTGTAGCACTACAAATATTTTTGTATATTATGGGTACCAATTACTTGTATTTATGTGTGTTGCAAATATCTTCTCCCAGTCTGTGTTTTTTCTGTTCTTAATTCCAGTCTTTTCTTTATGGTTGGTGCTTTATAATTATGGGTGGTACAAAAATATAAGTCTTGATATTTATTACTTAAGTACAGGGTAGTGATTAAACACATGGGTCCTTTAGTCAAACTAACCAGGTTCAAATTCTGACTGTATCTCTTACTAGCCATGTGCACAGGTTCAAGAATTAGGATGTAGACAGCTTTGAAGTGAGAGGGGGGAGCATTATTCTGTTTGCCACAATTGCTATATCCAGTTTGGAGTGCTCTTGAAGAAATGTAAGCAATAAAACAGCAAAATCAAAATTCTCTTAGGAGTATAATCTGACAATGTAAGATGGTGAATTTGGTAGATGCTAAGAAAGTAGGGAGACACATTAGGGTCTAAACACAAGGATGGTAGGAATGAGAATAAAAAGGAGAAGCTGGATGTGAGCAATGTTGTTGTAGAAGATAAACATTTTTTCAAACAGCTCAAAGAAAGAGAAACTTAGTATGTTGGCACAGATGAACGAATCAGTTCTTCACTTCCCATGTGACTATCAATCTTTGTACAATCTCTTATTCCATTGGTCAGAACCCAGAAGGGAAGAGATACTTCCTATCCTCAATTTTTTAACTGCAATTCTATTTTTCAAAAAATTTTACTTATCTGTTGGCCTGAAATAAATATTCACCAGATATGAGGTGACCCTGGTTTATTAGTAGAAATAGGAATTTAGTAGTATAAAGAAAATTACTGCTTTTGGACCTCAAAGCAAAATACATTATGTTACTCACTAGGGTGGCTACTAGCATTTCAAGCAGGTCAGTTCTTTACTGGGCAAGACCATTCCACAAACTGCTGTATACAGCATCCCTGGCCCCCTCACACTAAATTCCTCCCCAGCCACCACATGCCCCTATCACAACCAAACACACCCCACCTACATTTCTAAATGCCCTCTAAGTGCCCTCACACCTGTTCAAGAACTACCCATATAGTGTTAATTAACAATGAATCTAATCTACTTATGTCACCTTGCCTGGCCTGCTCCAAAAAAAAATTACTAATGGTCTTAGCAGTCTTCCAGCAGAATCAGGCATATTTAAGGCACTATAGTTTATAAAGAAATACAACGATGCAACTGGTAAAAAGAACAGACAATGGAAATAAACCAGAAATGTTCACTGAGTTGGGAAAATAAAAATAGCTGTTGCCCAACATAACTGACAGACCAGAAGAAGATATAAATCTGTCCTCTGAATCTTCCTTCCAAAGCCAACACTAATGCCAAAATAATGACCAGAGCCCTGAGGCACCTCGAGTCCCGGACAGCTCCCATTATTTTCTGGAACTGGGACTGGACCTGGGCTACTCCACCATCTGCAAGCGACCTTACACGTTACTTCTCACCATACCAGTGATTAAGAAACGATACAAAATAGAGTCTTTCTAGCTACCTCCAACAGCAAATAGGTACTTATTTTTAAAAAAATAAAGTCAGTGCTTTGTATCCACAATTATGGTCATTATCTTGCTGAGAAACAAATTAATTTGTGAGACCAGCTGTGAGGGGTCTCACCACATGCCATGATCCGTTGGTGCACAATAAACCAGAGAAGCTAAAAATACAAAAAGAGCAGGTCTTACCAATCGCTCAGGCCATGCTCTTAGAGAAAACTAAAATAGTTTCTAACCCAACAGAAGTGAACCAAGACACGGTTACACACATAGGTTCCGTATTTTGAGCTGACACTGCTCAACCAACAGCATCTCCATTTAGGATTGCCCTGGCCCCTCCCAAAGATATCCTGTAAATATCTTTCCAAAGAAGGTGCCAAGTACAACTTGCTGAAAAGGACTAATAAAGTATTTATCACCAGCATAAGAGAGGAGAGAGGACTGGGTGAAAAGCATGGCAATGAGGGGAGTGGGACTTACAGGACAAAAGTAGGTGTTCTCCACGATGTGATGGGCCACCATGCTGTTCTCGGCAGAGAGAGACATGATGAAAAGCAAAGCGTCCCGGGCCTGCTGGCCCACAGTCCCCTCTCGGTGAATGAAGGGAATTAGAAGGGAGAAGATGAGGAAGTTGGCTGCCCCTTGGTCCTCACTCGTGTGGAAGAAGAGTTCCAGGATGGACGGATCTTTGGCAAGGATGGAACAGAGCTGGTTGAGCAGGACAACCAGCTTCCCCTCCACAGCGGGGGTGGCTGTTCCCGAACAAGAGCTCAGCAGCATCATCAGGGGCTTCAGGATGGGCTTGTGGTGCAGCAGAGGCTGGTGCGACTGGGTGACCAGCATCTCGTACATCTTCAGCTGCTCGACTTTGGTGTCATCAGTAAACTCCCGCCTCAAGCTCCAAAGGAAGAGTTTCTCCATTATGTTCTCAGAGACCACGAATTCCAGAATCGGCCCCATGGCAGCGTCCTTGGCTTGTTCTTCAATCAGCAAGAAGAGCATGTGTTCTACATAATTCTGCACTGCACTGGCCTCGTCTGGAGGGATGGACCCGTATTTTGCCTGGGTGTTCTTCAAGGGGTCGTGCTTCTCTAAGATCTTCACAACCTGTAACCAAACCAAACATTTGTCAACCGACTGATGTCCACCATAATGACAAAAACAGGGCACCGATTGTGCCAAATCTTCACGGAAGATATGGGAGCCATGGCCCACAAAAAATAGGTGAGCACTGTGTTGGTCTCTCTCTCTCTCTCATGAGAATAAGACGAAGAAGTTAAACTACAGAAGGAAGATGTTTGCAGATATTCATTTATAATAGTTATCATTTTGGGCAACCTAACTGTTAAAGAAGGTAGTATGGTTATGCAAATTAAGCCACATGCATATCTGGGCCTCTTGTTATGAAGACGATTGAGCAAAATAAAAACTTGTAAATGATATTTTAGATGAAAAAATCAGTTACTTTATATCGTTAGGTCCATCATTATCAACCATGTCAAAAACATGAAAAAAAAAAAGACCAAAAAGAAATATGAAAAATATAAACCATTTTTGTGTTCAAAGTGATGACAAGTTCTTAAATTTTTTCTAACTTGTCAAAAATATTGCTTTTTAATCTTCAAATACATTAAATAAGCAAGACTACCTGTGTTCTCCTATACATAGCATTGATTTGAGGATTTCAACAGAGGAACACAGATCCTCATAGGCCCTTGAGAGAACATTATCCTCCCCTCCTCTACTTGGACGAGCACCCTTTTCAGCCAAGCAAGCAACATTAGGAAGGATGAGAGGAAACTGGTTAACAAAAGACATATACCTAGCAGAATCAGCTCTAACATATGGCATATGTCTGCATTTCTTGAAGCCAGAAAAAGTTCTGAGATAACCAATTATAAAATAAATCCCTAACGTACAGCATTTCTGTTTGGAGTAATGAAAAAGTATTGGAAATAGTGGTGATGGTTGCATAACATTGTGAATGTAGTTGATGCCATCTACACTAATAAAAGAGAAACATGGTAATTGGCGTACGACCGCTACCCTTCCCATTGGCTAATCAGGGAGATATGTAAATTAACTGACAGCCAAGATGGCGGCCGGCAGCCAGGCAGCTTAAAGCGAACATGAGGCTTGCTTCCTTCATTGAAGGAGAAAGCCAACGTTCCCCGCCTGCTGCTGCCAGCCTCTGAGCTGGCAGTTTGAAACTTTGTAACACTTTCAGCCTGCCGGGATCTCAGAGCTAAAGTTATACATTGTTTCGATTATAGAACCAGCAGCGGAAGCCTCAGAGCTAGAGCCAGAGCTAAAGCTGGCCCAGAATAAAAAAAAAAAAAAAGAAAAAAAAGGAGCGGTTGGGAGCTTCAGTCAACAACCGCCAGCCTGAAAGCAGCCCTCAGCCCCTCACCCAGACTGGCCAGGCACCACAGTGGGGACCCCCACCCTGAAGGGTGTGTGACCAGCTGCAAACAGCCATCATCCCCTCATCCAGGCTGGCCAGGCACCCCAGTGGGGACCCCCACCCTGAAGGGTGTGTGACCAGCTGCAAACAGCCATCATCCCCTCATCCAGGCTGGCCAGGCACCCCAGTGGGGACCCCCACCCTGAAGGGGGTGTGACCAGCTGCAAACAGCCATCATCCCCTCATCCAGGCTGGCCAGGCACCCCAGTGGGGACCCCCACCCTGAAGGGGGTGTGACCAGCTGCAAACAGCCATCATCCCCTCATCCAGGCTGGCCAGGCACCCCAGTGGGGACCCCCACCCTGAAGGGGGTGTGACCAGCTGCAAACAGCCATCATCCCCTCATCCAGGCTGGCCAGGCACCCCAGTGGGGACCCCCACCCTGAAGGGGGTGTGACCAGCTGCAAACAGCCATCATCCCCTCATCCAGGCTGGCCAGGCACCCCAGTGGGGACCCCCACCCTGAAGGGGGTGTGACCAGCTGCAAACAGCCATCATCCCCTCATCCAGGCTGGCCAGCCCTAACCCCCTGATCGGCCCTGCTCTGTGAGTGACAGGGGGCAGCGCCCCAACCCCCTGATTGGCCCTGCTCTGTGCGTGACAGGGTACGGAGCCCCAACCCCCCTGATGGGCCCTGCTCTGTGCGTGACAGGGGGTGGCGCCGCAACCTCCCCATCGACCCTGCCTTGAGCGTGACAGGGGGCGGCGGCCCAACCCCCCAATCGGCCCTACCCTGAGCGTGACTGAGGGTGGCATCGCAACCTCCCGATCCGCCCTGCTCTGTGCATGACAGGGGGCGGCGCCCCAACTCCCCAATCGGTCCTGCTCTGAGCCTGACCAGGGGCTGCACCTAGGGATTGGGCCTGCCCTCTGCCACCCGGGAGCAGGCCTAAGCCAGCAGGTCGTTATCTCCCGAGGGGTCCCAGACTGCGAGAGGGCACAGGCCGGGCTGAGGGACCCCCCCTTCCCCCCCCCCCCCGAGTGCACAAATTTTTGTGCACCGGGCCCCTAGTTGAATTATATGCTTAAAAATGGTTAAGATGGACCTGACAGGTGTTCCTCAGTGGGTAGAGCACCAGCCTGTGCACCGAAGGGTCATGGGTTCAATTCCCAGTCAAGGGCACATACCTGAGTTGCAAGTTCAATCCCCAGCCCTGGTTGGGGTGTGTGCAGGAGACAACCAATTGATGTGTTTCTCTCACCTCAATATTTCTCTCGCTCTCTCTCTCTTCCCCTTTTTTCCCACTCTCTCTAAAAATCATTGGAAAAAATATCCTCGGGTGAGGATTAACAACAACAAAAATGGTTAATTAAGATGGCAAACTTCATTATATATCTTTGACCACCAAAAAGAAAAAGTCAATTGACAGTAAAAAAAATGAGTAAATCCCTAATCGGGTCATGGTGCTTCTCTCCCTTGCCACGGCTAGCCTGTGGGTGCTCCCTGCCCCTCTCTGCCCATCCATACTGACTTCTACTTTGGGACCTGGAAACTAAAACAATGTTTTTAATCTCAACTCCCATGTAACTTTATGACTTTTATGGTAATATTCATTCATTTCCTTAAAATGTATCCACATGATAATTTTTAAGCAACCAAACACTGATGGCTTCATTTTCCTTCCGTTTTTCCTGTCTGAACTGCATGCAGCACCCTCCTGGCCCAGTTCTGTAACATGCAGTTACATGTTCTGCATTTAGGTTACGGAATGTTTGCAAGTCACTGGAGAAGCTGGCAATGGTACGATGCTGTGTCAGCATGCATGAGAGCGATGACAGAAGTTTAGTTCTCAGGGGAAGTTCTAAGTTTTCCCCTGTCAGAAACAGGGCAAAGGAACCTTTACAGACCAGGCAAGTTATATCCTTACAGAATGAACAGAATTCTACAGAGTCTGTCATCTCTATCCACTTCTATTATAAAATTAACAATTCTGTTACAAAGGAAGAAATCACCCCAGCACTCCTGAGCTGACATTTTCAATAAGAAAGACCTTTGGTTAGCAGCTACCCAGGAGGTACGTGGCTCAATGACTGGTGACCCAGCGTGCACACTGGACATGCCCTCCTTCACTCTATGCAGACTCCAGAGTGCCCCCACCCTTCCTAACATCAAAGAAGCTGCCCAGAATTCCTCAAAGGCCTGATAACCTCACTGGCAGAAATGCTGGGACCCGTCCCCCTTTCCCTTTGCTCTGGCCTCCGTGACAGAGATCACAGTACCACACTTGTCCAAAAGGGGGCTCCACGTCAACACAGAATAGTCTCCAGCTCCAAAGCCCTAACTTTAAGGCTCCACATTCTGAAGAACAAATTAGCTGCCCTGCCTTATCACTTCTATAATTTCAAAGTCCACATATCAAGTTTATGTATGAGAGCTATCTATACAGCCAGGCTTTGGGGTAGAAATGTAATTATACTTCTCATGTGTGCTCAGACTGCCTTAACTATCTAAAATTGGGACATTATACATCGATAGTGGCATAGCAAATTAGCTCAATCCCTTTGGAAAACAATCTGCCAATATGTACAAAAACTACTAAAATTGTTTCTCCCCTTTGACTTGTTAATCTCACTTTGAGAGAAATGCCTAAAGGAAACAACCCAAAAATAATTGGTTAATAAATGTTCACACTGGTGATATTTTTAATGAAAAATAAAAATATTATTTACCCAAACGGTCAAAAAGAAGAGAATTATAATCAAAATGTTACCTCACCATACAATAAAGCTATTAAAACACTAATCATATAATTACCTGCAAGTGTATGTATAAAATAATTTAAGTTAAAAACGAAATATTTGACAAGGAGATGTATGATTAGAAGTGAGTCTGAAAAGATATAAATGAGATAGTCAAGTTCATAAGTTCTTTCTTATAAATTGGTCTAATTTCATAATATAAGTAAAAATAAAGTAGACAAAGTAATTTTGTACTAATGTATTTTTTGAAAGGAACAAAACACTGAGTTAAAAACAATTAATAATTGGAAATCTCCTCATCCTCAGAAATTCCTGAGCAATATATATTTATGCATATGTATTTATACTTACATGCATGCATATAGATATTACATATCTAAATGTACACAATACACACAAAAAATATATAATCATAAGTTACATTTTTCTCGTGAATATTGTTTATTCCAATGTATTTCTTTGCAAACAATTTTTTTTCTATGAAAAATCTAAAAAAGAGAACTGAGATTTTTATATAAAATGCAGACTATTTAGCAGCTTTTAAGTCAGAGCATCTTTATATTGTAGCTCCCACTGCCTTCTGGGTTAATGGGCAGAGAAACATGAGAACAGAGCTATAAACACCTATGGAGATATAAGGCTTGTTGATCATCTGGAATGGAGCAGAACCATCAAGAGCCCTTTATTCATTCCCAGCCCAGGGGTGGTTTACTGCCTGGAAGATGGGTGTGTTACAACCGAGGCCAGTGAGTCATGGAGTACACAATGCCCAGCAAAGTGCTGATTCTGCCTGTGCTGCCACAAGTCCTTAACCTCTCTCCGTAGGTGCCAGGACCCTCCCAGGCCTCCTCCCTTCCCCTTCCAGGCAGACACACCCATGACCTGCTTTTATAAGTGGGCTCTGGGGGCCCACACTCTGGGCCTGGTTCCTGTCCAAACAGGG